AAAGTAGAAAATTCTGAAAACTTTAAGCAAGCATTCGCTCAAGTTAAGGGTGAAGTTCCTGGATCCCCCATATTCATTATGAAACTTGCTGGAAATGCTCGTCACTTAGAAGTACAAGTAATCGCAGATCAATATGGAAATGCCATATCATTATTTGGTAGGGATTGTTCAGTGCAAAGAAGGCATCAAAAAATTATAGAAGAAGCACCAGTGACTATTGCAAACGATGAAACATTTGAGGCAATGGAAAAGGCGGCTGTCAGATTAGCTAAACTAGTTGATTATGTTAGCGCAGGCACTGTTGAATATTTATTTGATAGTAACGAAAATTCTTTCAGCTTTTTGGAACTTAATCCAAGATTACAAGTAGAACATCCCACTACTGAAATGGTTTCTGGTGTGAATTTACCAGCAGCTCAATTACAAATTGCCATGGGTATTCCACTTCATAGAATCCGAGATATAAGGGTTCTCTATGGATTAGCTCCCAATGGAACATCAGAAATTGATTTTGATTTTTCAAACCCAGAATCGTTACAAACTCAGAGAAAACCGGCACCAAAAGGACATGTAATTGCCGTAAGAATCACAGCAGAGAATCCTGATGCCGGCTTTAAACCTAGTAGTGGTATGATGCACGAACTTAATTTTCGAAGTAGTACAAATGTTTGGGGTTACTTTTCGGTGAATTCTGCTGGTGGTCTTCATGAATTTGCCGATTCTCAATTTGGACATATTTTTTCCTACGGAGAGAATCGTCAAGAATCGCGTAAGAACATGGTTATTGCTTTAAAAGAACTTTCAATCAGAGGCGATTTTCGTACAACTGTTGAATATCTAATTAAATTACTTGAGACAAAAGCATTTGAAGATAATAGTTTCACCACTTGTTGGTTGGATATGTTAATATCAGAAGTAAATTTAACGGCCGAGAAACCTGATAAGATGTTAGCTATTATTTGTGGTGCAGTAACTAAAGCCTACACTGCTTCCCAAGAATCTATCTCAGAATATAGACGCTTTTTAGAAAAAGGTCAAATTCCCAGCAAAGATGTTTTACGAACGGTCTTTGCGATTGATTTTATTTATGATGGAGTTCGTTACAAGTTTACCTCTACGCGCTCTGCTCCTCATTCTTTCATGTTCTATTTGAATGGATCTAAGGGTCAAGTATCCGTTCGTGCTCTTTC